AATCAATGGCCACACTGATGACTTTTGCAGCATCTTTTAATCATGTCAGTTAATAAGCACTGTCCTGTGCAAAATCATAGGCAAGGTTGCAGTTGCAGTTGCAGTTTGTGATTTTTCATTTAGTGATTGAGGATGGCTTAGAAAGAAAGCTAATTACTGGATTGGCTTTCATCAACCTAACTGCAGCATATGATTAACCATAGGATATTGCTACACAAGTTAAATAATATCACTAGAGACAATAAGCTTACCAAAGACATTAGCAGCTTTCTCCAGAACCGAAGATTTTATGTGATGGTAAGAACAATAGATGGAGGATGCAAAACAGGCTGCAAAAAGGAAGTGAATTGTCTCCAGTGTTGCATAACATATATATAAACGATCAACCAGCCCCTAACAACAAATATCTATTCATTTGAATGGTATGAATGATACAGCAGTGGCAGCACAAGGATAAACTTTTGAAGAGGTAGCCAGGAAACCTATGGTAGCACTTGAAAAATTAGGATATTATTACACCATCAACCATGTAAAGCCATGTGTGTATTATTAGTTAAGATATACAATTGTTAAATGTAATAAATATGAATATTAACATTCTATTGTAGGAAAAGGAATATGTGGAATTTGACTGACATAAAAATAATATAGTGAAATATTACATAAGATAATGTAATATTACAATTTAATAAAAGCAACTGTATTATTATAATTGCATAAAAGATACCTTGACAAGAATTACATAACTTGTTAAATGTAAATATGATAAATACTATTTTATTTGTATCAAAATGTAATTAGAAAGGGGATTTTTTAAAATATAATAGTGGCATAATTAGAAATTAAAAAGGAGATAAACAATGGACAATTATAATTTAATATAAATTTGTTAATTATTAGAAATATATAATACTTTAAACACTGCAAATATGATTATTAATATAATATCTGTAGTACAAGAAGTGATGTTAAGAATATAGAGATTGACATAAAAATAACATACTGTAATACAGAATAATAAGATTGATAATTTAACAAAATATGTGTATTAATATCAAATTTTGTTAGATTGTCAATTGTATTAAATATGAAGAATATTGTCATATTTGTTTTAAAATATAAGACACTCCGGAACTACACCGTTCACACAATGTTATGCTTGCTGAAACAAAAAATAAAAAAATTATTGCAAAAAAAGAAAAACCATTTAAAGCCCAACCGAAAGACCCAGGCATGTGCTTTCAATCTTAGAAATCAAAATGCAAAGGAAAAGCTAGATGTTATGTGGCTAGGGAACTGACTACACCACTGTCCAATACTGAAGTATCTCGGAATGGCACTCAACAGGACATTCTCTTTTAAACAGCATTACCTGAACCCTAAAGCTGAAGTCAACACATGGAACAATATCTGGAAATTGATAAACTATACATAGGGAGCACAACCATCTATCTACATTGCGCACATAAGCTTTGGCCTTGAGCGTCTCTGCAACACAGTATGGGGCACATCTGCACACGTGAAATAAGTTGATATCGCCATTAATGAAGTAGTATGCTTAGTGCACATTGTCTCAAACCTATACCCACTGAGAAAACATTGTCTCACTGGCATTGCCCGACCCATGATCAGGAGAAAGGTAGCAGCAGATGCTGAGAGATCTAAGCAAGAGAATGATCCTCAACATCCTTTGAATGGACATATTCCCCAAGCCTGCTGACTCAGATCTAGAGACAGCTTTATGGCAAGAACAAGCATTATTAAGGGTACATGAGAACAAAATCAAATTAAAAGATAGAGGAAGCAAAGAATAGCATTAAAGAAGGATATGGCTGAAGGATCTGACCTTATACTACTTGGAGAACCATGAATAGGTTTAGAGTTGGAGTGCCTAAAACCAATGTGCTCAAGTGGAGGCTCTTAACAAATAACTGCATGCTATGTGAATGTAAGAAACACACATCTGCTAGTATTTTGCTACTACCATAAATATGTACTGGTAACTTATTTTGGCCAATGACAAAGCCAAGAAGGTAACTTCATTCTGGTAGTTTAAAGTTTGATCTAGATACAGAAAAAGAAGAACTTGGTGATAGTTTTGCTTGATGCCTGGGTCACTAGTCACTAAATAAGGCTGCATGTATGGCCTTTTTCATCTCCAAAAGTTTCTGTGTTATTATGGAATGGGAAAGCAGCTTCCAAATATATACTGTAGTTATCTCAACAGAATCTCAACAGATGTGAAGCAGAAAAGAAAGCAATCTAAAAAGTCATTATTATAAGGTTTAGGATTATATTTTGAATTAAAATTGTCTAACTATGTTACCATTTTAACTAGGGCCACTGTGGACCTAGAAAGGGCAGCAGATTTGTAATAGTTCTGAATGCAAAACATCCCTGGTTCATTTCGCATATGTTTGGTTAAAAAGATCAAGTAATAGGAGCTAAAACCTCTGGCTGATAAACCGACAAGCCACTGTTAGAACAAAGGAGATTAGATTAAGTGGAGAACTACACTGTTCACACATTGTACTAATCTGTAATACAATGCAGTCACTATAGGCAAATTATGTATACAACAATGTTTTTCAAATATGGCAACTTTAAGATGTGTGGGATGCAAGTAGAAGTTTTAAAGTTGCCAAGTTTGAAAAACATTGGCTTAGAACAATGTATAAGTATGCACAGGTTATAGAAATATATATATATATATATATATATATATATATATATATATATATATA